TGCCCTGTGCAGCTTCCCCCTTGCCACTGAATGCATTGAGACTGTCCAGCCACCAAAGTTGCATTTGTAAGACCTATCGTATTAGTCACTTGATTTGCATGAACTGTTGGTCAGCAAATGTGCCGTGTGCTACCTGAAACGTCTGACCATTCCTAAGGCATATCCAGTTGCATGAGTAACTGTTTTACGTAAATGTGTCATTCTCTATTTCGCTGTGCGTTGTGGTTACGCCCTATGTTCCTGTCATGTACACCTGTCATTTATGCAGTTCAGCGACAAAACTTGGATTTGTAAACGTATGTAAAAGACGCACATAGAACGTACAACGTCTTTTACACATCTTAAAATGCTATAAAATGCGTTTAAACTACTTAGAGTTTCGACGGGGGGAAACAGGTGTAAATGTGAGGTAATTCTAATCTCCAAACAGATCATACGGTGGCAAGGCAATATCCATTGACCAGAGGAGTGTCGGTGGCCAATGGACAGTCCGCTGGCCAATGGAAACTGCCTTGCCACCATAGGATCTGCTTGGAGATTAAGGTAATTCATATACGGGCTCCTGTTTGGGTCTTATAAGATTTTCATGCAACCTGCCACTGGAAGAAATGACCGCGAATACTTCAATTTCCGAAACGTTACCCTTCCATACTTTTATTTGGCACATATACATATATATATATGAATGCGGACAGACTTACTTAGACTTAGTTCCTCCCGTGCAAGGCACATTGCGGACAGATCTGCTTGGAAAGTTTTTGAATACCCAGATTTTTGGTCACTCTGGAATCGCACAATTATGTCCGAAAAATCAGGAATTAACTATTTTTAACGGATGTGAAGCCGAACCCTTTTGCATCTCCATTCGTGTATCCTTGGTGTATACTATTAATTCGACTGTATACTCCATATATTCACTCTGGGATGTGAGCCCACCATAAAAGGAACACGCGTTTGGTGTAACTGATAAAGTTTTATTGAACAGCAGAACTCAAAAGTAGCAGTAAAACAAATTTCAAATAACGAAGAATATATTAATTAGATTTCACAAGCGTCAACATGGCTCTCTTTTGAGCAAGCGATTAACAGTCTAACAAATTAATAGCAATGAAACAATTCTTAAATCACGAAGAATATATTAGATTTAAATCGCAATAATTCAGCACTAGATCAAGCAAGTAACATTCTAACAGAATATGATACAAAAAAGAGAAATAGACATCTGACAGATATAACAGACACTGACCCTGAGAATATTACATTATTTATAACGTTAGTTATATGGCTTAGAACTTCCATTGCGATTTTCAGTCAGAATTTTGTGTCCCTTGAACAGAACTCGTTTGCAACAAATATAAATCTGTCACGTAAGAGTCACAAGATACAACTTACGTCACCATACGTCATCAAAGCCTACCCAATAGGGTGCCAGGGTATGTGGGTAGGGTGAAGTAGGTTGTACACCGTACGTCATTGTCAGTTAGTCGTTGCGCAATTAGTCACGTGTTTCCGTCCTTGTTTGTCAGTCAGTCAGTTAGTCAGTTCGTCTGTTGATCTATCTTATTAAGCATAGGCAGAATCTTATTAAGTCATCCTTACCAAATATTAGCCAGGAAAGATGAAAAGTTGCATTTGGAAATATTGGCTATATATAAAGAAATTGCAAAACGAACAAAACGAAAGCACGTCCCCCTTACTGTAGCAGAGCGTTTGGCGTCTTTTAGGTTCTAAGAATTTTACTAAATTCCCCTCTTTCTTTTCATATTTACTTACGAAAATAAGTCTTCGCCTTCTTTTACATGCCTACATTTTGTATTAGTCTTATTTCTGTATTAGCTGTAATGTTGAACTAACGGCTGCATTGCGTCATTCTGACTTCTATTCAAATGCTAGACGTCACTGTCCTTGTCACAAATAACGTACGTCAAAATTAAGTACTTGTAGGTTTCAATCTAATAGATTAACATTGATAATTAGTGAATGTACATTTCTATTTGTTTTCACAACTTGTGGCTACTTGACGTTAGAAATTCCCGAACGATTGTTCAGGGAAATGTAATTTATATCCCAAGTTTCTGGCGCTGTTTTTGTGTAAACCTTAAGGTTTATGTCCTACTTTGTTTTACATGTGATTCACATGTGAATGTAACTGGGCGATTTTACCATTAACACAAAAGCTCATCAAACGTTTTCGATTCGTTTTTCCCTAGTTTTGGTATCTTTGAATGCGGTTAGCCTTAACAATTTGGATGTCGTTCATAATTTTACGCTCTAGCTTTGGCTTTGGTCAGTAATTTTACAATAATCAAAGCCCCATTTTGGTTTCAGCGTCTTAATTGATTATCTGTTGAGAATTCAAATCGGCCTGCTGGCCGTTTTTGGTGTTGTTGTTTTTTTCATTCTTCTTTCTTTCTTTTAATGATTGAACTGGTCTTTATATGATGGGTGCTTCAATATAAAGTTAAAAATTTGCAGTCATTTGATTTGCTTTGCAATTGGGTGAAAATTGGTTCTGGACAATTTGGGCATGTGAAACTGAATGTGGAGTGAAAATAGATTAAAAGTTCCCTTAAGATTTAAGTGGATATGTGGAACTTTCGAACTTTCACTTAACCTTTTAAAGATAGTTTGGACATGTGAAAGTTAATGTGGTCACTTTCACGTTTACGTATTGACAGGTGTGCGTCATTCGATTAGATTGTTAATTGGTAAAATTTGTTTTGTACAATTTGGGCAAATGAAACTGAATGTGAAGTGAAAATAATTACCAGGTCCTTTAAGATTTAAGATAGATTTGACAAGTGAAAGTACAGGTGATCACTTTCACTTTTACGTCTCGCCAGGTTTGCATTACTCGTCGTCGCTGTCTCCCTGCGCCTCAGGTGAGACCCTTCCGTCGTTGCCCTTGTTCTTCTTCACCTTCAGGTAGTAGTACGCCGCTCCTGCGATTCCGCCGATCAACAGAACGGCAACCAGGGCGCCCACTATAGCCCCCACCGGGGAGCCGGCCTCTTCTGTAAACAAGAAAACAACGACAATAAAAAACAGATCTCTACTGTAAACAACAATAAGAAAACAACGACAAAGTAGTACGCCGCTCCCGCGATTCCACCGATGAACAGAACGGCAACCAGGGCGCCGACTATAGCCCCCACCCGGGGAACCGGCCTCTTCTGTAGGAAAAAAAACAAAAACGAAAAACTGTTCTGTAAACAACAAGAAAACAACAACGATTGGACCAGGCGTCCTCTGTAAACATGAAAACATTTCCTTTGTGGAATTGAAAAGAACAACAATTGATAATTATAACGCTAACGATAACAACGGTTTCAAAGAAGCTGTATAGCGGATACCAGTCGACTTTTTTAAGATCTCCACTTTTTCATTAGACGTATTTTGTTGAACATTCTCTATGTCTCTGTCTCTATGTGCTAACAAGGTGCTAGGTACTAATTCTCACTCAATGAGGAAATTTTCACTTATCAGTTCAGTCATCAAGTTGCGCACAACATCATCAGGGCACATTGCTTAGGATTCGACCCCCAAACCATTAGATTTTGGAACTCTCATACTTCTATGATGACTACCAGGCAGGTTCTGCATATCGCAGTGTTGTCCCTCAACAATGCCTGCTATAGTTTTAGCAGTCAACGGCCCTAACTAAAAGGCCACCCTTTGAGTTTGTGACCGTACATGTATGGACTTAAGACCTGACGACCATCCTTGCATACTGCCCATAGCCCTCCAACTCTGTCCTGCCACTTGTTACATAATGTAACCCAACACCACATGTACGTACCAGGCAGGTTTTGCACCTCGCAGTGTTGTCCCTCGTACGTCTCCGCACAGTCACAGCGGTACTCTTCCTCACTCAGCGGCACACAGGTGGCACCGTTCTCACAGGGCTCCAGGTCACGGCAGGGTTCGGCTGGAGGGGAGGGGGGCAGAGAGATTTTAGGTTACTGGGCAGACATGTTACAGTGTAGTTACTGGGCAGACATGTTACAGTGTAGTTACTCCGCACACTCAGCGGCACACAGGTGGCACCGTTCTCACAGGGCTCCAGGTCACGGCAGGGTTCGGCTGGAGGGGGGGCAGACATGTTAGCTTACTGGGCAGACATGTTACAGTGTAGTTACTCCGCACACTCAGCGGCACACAGGTGGCACCGTTCTCACAGGGCTCCAGGTCACGGCACGGTTCGGCTGGAGGGGAGGGTGGGGGTAGAGACATGTTATCTCATGACGTAATCTTAATGTATTTATGAGGTGGCCTTGTTGTATCCATTACCATGTTTTATCCGGCCAGAACCATGTATGGGAGTTTCCTTACGTGTCACGTTGTACATTTTCTTCGGGTGAATGTGTGGCATGTGTCTGTGACTTGATTGAACTTGAAGTTGACCCGTATTCCAATAGTTTCCTTGCGTGCCATGGCGTAATATTTTCATCGGGTAATGTGATGTATCACGTATGTGTCTGTGATTTTTAGTGAACTCAGAGTCTAGACTGAACTTGAATTTGACCCTTACGTGTCATGGTCTCGCAGAACCGTCCGATCCAGCCGATAGGGCAGCTGCAGTTGGGTTAGGGTAATGTGGGTAGTGTGTCTGTGATGTTTGTTTGTTTGTTTGTTTGTTTGTTTGTTTGTCCTTACGTGTCATGGTCTCGCAGAACCGTCCGATCCAGCCGATAGGGCAGCTGCAGTTGTGTTAGGGTAATGTGGGGAGTGTGTCTGTGATGTTTGTTTGTTTGTTTGTTTGTTTGTTTGTTTGTTTGTTTGTTTGTCCTTACGTGTCATGGTCTCGCAGAAGCGTCCGATCCAGCCGATAGGACAGCTGCAGTTGGGTTAGGGTAATGTGGGGAGTGTGTCTGTGATGTTGTTTGTTTGTTTGTTTGTTTGTTTGTCCTTACGTGTCATGGTCTCGCAGAACCGTCCGATCCAGCCGATAGGGCAGCTGCAGTTGGGTTAGGGTAATGTGGGTAGTGTGTCTGTGATGTTTGTTTGTTTGTTTGTTTGTTTGTTTGTTTGTTTGTCCTTACGTGTCATGGTCTCGCAGAAGCGTCCGATCCAGCCGATAGGACAGCTGCAGTTGTAGGCGTCCCGAAGGTCGTTACACGTGGCGCCGTTCAGACACTCGTTCGTCACGCAGTCGTCGGGTTCTGGGAAAGGAAAGGCAAGAAGTTTCAAAGGAAGCAAGTACTAAACTTTATAACGTTTGTAGTATATGTTCATGGTAGGCTATGGAAAAGTTTCGATGTAGTAAGTATTGATTTATTAGGTCTAGCAATATGTATGTTTTTGAGCACTTGTGCAACTATTGAAGAACTTAACCTCCTTTCACGTTCATGTTCGAATTAGGCTGTTTCTGACTGTCACGGGGAAGGAAGTTTGCCTTGCAGCAGGTTATAACATTTGATTGTCTTATATCACTGTGTATCTTATCTATTACTTTAATATCATTGATACGCCCACATTGCTGTTGCGGTATTTCCGATGCTATATGGAACCCCATAAGAAATACCGATACACATAACGGCCTTTAACTTTGCAAAAGTCTCAATACCGTAAACTATAGAGTGAAGAGGCAGATTTCCCTAACCTTGGCAGGATGGTCCGAGCCATCCCACGGCACAGCCGGGCGGACAGTGTCCGGTCGCCCCGTCACACGTCTCGTTATTCATGCAGTGGCACTTCAACAGGCAGTTAGAGCCGAACTCGCCAGGGGCGCACTCTGGAATAACAAATAAGTACATCAAATGTAATGTATGTATAATGTGACCAGCCCCTCCAACTCCGCCCTGCCACTTGCTACATAATGTAACCCAACAGTGGCACTTCAACAGGCAGTTAGAACCGAACTCGCCAGGGGCGCACTCTGGGTGGTAAATGCATCATATATAATGCATGTATGAATATTACTATTCATATACTAGTATATGGTGACCAGCCCCTCGAACTATGCACTGCCACCTGCTACATAATGTAACCCAACACCGCAGGATGCTGGCTACAATGGCACTTCAGCATGCAGTTAGAAGCGAACTCGCCAGGGGCACACTCAGGGTGTTTGCTACAGTACCAGTTACCACGGTGACAGACGTCTGGTCCAGGTCACTGACCTTACGTGTTTGGAGAGGAAAACAAAACAGGGCAAAAAAATAAATTTCCTTCTCTGCGAAGATGAACATGAAAAAAAAACAAGAAAAAAACAGGAAGGTAGGTTTTCCTGATTTTTTTTCTTGTTCATCTTCATAGAGAAGGAAAGATATTGTTTCTGCCCTAGGCCTGTTTTGTCTTTTCTTCTCCAAATAATAAAAACAAAACGAGAAAAGCCTACCCTCCTGACAGGTTGCACCCTTCCAGCCCTCCCTGCAGCCCTCCGGACAGTTGCCCGTGTAGATGTTGCAGTTCGAGTCGTTTTTGCAGTTGCAGTTCTGGTTGCAGTCGGCTCCGAACCTGCCCTGGGGACAGACTGGTTGGAAAGAGAGACAGTTAACATATTAGATCAGGATGTTCTTCTGCTAAAACATATGAGGAAATTATGATATCTTTGTCTAAACTTTGAAGATTTTAGACCCCTTCGTTACAACCCTCTGCTTTAGTTTTACACAGTTTTACACAACTGTGCGGTGAAAGGATTTCAAGTTTTAACTTAAAACTTTAAACATGATACATGGACGTACAAGCATTGCTTCTGCCCTACTTGCACAACTGTGCGGCCTAGCCTAAGAGCTATCGACATATGCTTATCTAGTTCTTGGCCTCAATGAGTTACAGTCAGGATCAGGCATGGCTTTGGATAGCATTCGCGTATCCAAGAACGTAGATTTGGCCCAGGCATGGTTCTGGATACGCATGGACTATCCAGATTTTAACTTTTTAAAACTTTATACCCATTTGTTACAGCCCCCTGCCGAAGTGCCTGCAAAACTGCCGAAAGTGGCCCAAGGGTTATAGAAACGGAGATAGGCACCACCCTGCTCTTGGCTGCAAAGTGAGGGTATCTGGCCCACCAAATAACCAAATAACAGATAATGACTTTGGACCTACATTCGTCGCACTCGTCTCCGCGGAATCCAGTAGCGCAGCTGCAGCCCCACGGATCCGGCATACAGAACAGCAGCTCCATACACTGGTCATCTCTCTGGGGCCGCTTACACTGGTGAGTACAGTTCACTCCGAACTTGTTTCCTCCGCACGCTAGGACAGACACAAGGTAAGGTGTTACACACAGACAGACAGACAGACAGACACACAGACAGACACACGCACAGACAGACACAGACAGACACACAGACCGACAGATAGACACACACACACACACACACAGAGAGACACACACACAGAGACACACAGACAGACACACAGACACACAGACAGACACACAGACAGGCAGATAGACACACACACACAGACACACACACAGAGAGACACACACAGAGAGACACACACACAGACACACACACACACACACACACACACAGACACACAGACACACACATAGACATACACACACACACACAGACACACACAGAGAGAGACACACACAGACAGACACATACACACACACACACACATACATACACACACACACACACAGCCAGATTAGAACATAAACACAATCCAAACATAAGAAATAACCTATCAGAAATGTAAGACACAAGAAAAGGTAGAACAGACTCACGTTGTTCGCAGTTCCTGCCCATGAAGCCTGGAGGACAGATGCACTCCCCCGTCTCATCATGGCACATTCCACCGTTATAGCAGCGTGGGCAGTCGTCCGTACACCCTCCACCGAACTTACCCTCCGGACACGCTACACAAACAAACAAACAAACAAACATCGTCATGGCACATTTCACCGTTATAACAGCGCTACACAAACAAACAAACACAGTTATAACAGCGTGGGCAGTCCTCCGTACAGACACCACCGATCCCGGGACAAGCTAAAGAAGCAATCAATACATCAATAGATCAATCAATAGATCGATAACCCAGTGTATCAATTTATCAATCGATTAATCCATCTATTTTGCAACAATTCTAGCGGATACAATGTATGGCACATTGGTAAACAGTGCCATATAACGTGAAACTTGCCCCATGGCACGCGATAGAACCAATTCATCAATTACTAGAAATCGATCAATCAATCGATCGATCAATCAATCCACTTTATTGTGCAACAATTGTATCACATGCAGTGATGTATGGTAAAGTGGTGACGAGTGCTTTAATAACTAGTCTAATATCTGCGCTTTTCTATTTACAGTGAATGAATAGTTGACATCCGCGCCGAGGGACGAAGTCGGTAAGTACTTGAAATACTCCAAAGTCCTCTTCATAAGTAGATAATGATCATCACTTGTGTCGTATTGCAGGCTTATATAACACTTCTATAGCTAGACAATCACTGCTTTGTGTATTTCTATGAGCCTCTATGGTATGTTCTCCATTCTTCACCACCATCCCGGATTCGCTGGTTTCCTATCAAACAAACTAGCTGGCAACACCAGCTATCAAGCTTTATTCAGCTGTAATTGATACTGGAAAAGAGCCATTCTGTCTCATTGAAGAAACCACAAGGACTCCTTGGCCTTCATCATGTAAAAGATACACGTGTGTATTCCTTCAATACGTGCTTTTGATACGGTCTTTTACAATAGCAGATCTACATCGTAGCCGGATGCTTTGACTCTCTAACAAACAACCTGGTTATACCGACGATCGTGTTTTGTACAAATTTGATTGATTGTGGAAAAGATCAATTCTGTTCCATTCTGGCATGGTTAAGGGCCACTTCATCAATTGAAAGATGAAAGATCTACAGTTGTACATCCCTTTAATACGTGCCATTGATACGAACCTGTACAATAGAAAGTTTGCGTCTACAACCGGATTCGCTGATTGTCTAACAAACAAATTGCCTAGTTACACCAGCGATCACGCTATCAATATGTAATTGATACTAGAAAATATCTCTTCTGTCTCGTTCTAGCATCTGTAAGCACCTACGGGTGAAATGTACAGAAGCACGTGCACAGAAACACAGAAACATGTGCATGTTCTCTTCTATAGATCTTGACACAAAATTACAAGCTTTGTTATTGCACAAGAGACGAAAAAAGGTTGTTTGTAACCTCCTTTTTCCATGTCAAAAAAAGTTTAGACAATGACAGATCGTGTTAACAGTTATTGATATAACTGGTCCATGTTAGCACATACACAGTTAAGGTTAGCTGTGGGCTAGCCCCAAAGGGTACCGAGACTTACATCTGACGATGACCCGCATCATTCCGGCCTTAGTAGGGTTAGGAGTGGGGGTAGGGCATCCTCCTTCGCAGGGCTAGTATCCTCCGGTTCGTAAAACCCGAAGGAACGAACCGGAGGATTTTAGCCCTGCGAAGGAGGATGGGGTAGGGTTGGGGTTAGGGTTACGGTTAGGGGCTAGGGGCTAGAGGCTAGGGTTGGGGTTAGGGTAGGGTTAGGGTAAGGGTTAGGGTTATAGAGTTAGAGTTAGTGTTAGAGTTACGGTTAGGATTAGGGTTGGGAGTTAGGGTTAGAGTTAGAGTTTAGAGAGAGAAACTGTTCCAGCGTTAGTGTTAGCGTTAGGGTTAGTGTTAGGGGGTAGTGCTGAGGGTTAGGGTTAGGGTTAGGATTAGGGAGTAGGTTTAGGGTTAGAGACTTACATCTGACGATGACCCTCATCATGCCGGCTTTAGTAGGATCCTCCCGCTGCCCCTGTTGGTAACAGTCCAGCACCCCCCGGCCCGGGCTCACGAACTGTTCCAGTGTGTTCCCGCCCCGTTTGGAGTCCAGGTCCAGACTCAGCGAGTCCGAGCCGCCGATCACGTTAGGGCCGCGGTTCCACCTGAGGGGAAAAAAACTCTAGCCATTAAAACAGATACCAGTCTCTTACTGTATCCAGAACCGTGTTTTGTTCAGATTCATGCTTGAGCTCAGGCACGGTTCTAGATAGTCCACGCATATCCATAACCGTACCTGGGTCAAATCTACGTTCTCATACACGGAGACTATCCAGAACCGTGCCTGATCCTAACCCTAAGCCATATAAGCATAGAACTGGATGGACACGGTTATGGATACGATATATCTACTTTATCATCTGTATTGGTATCTGTATATAGCTGGTATAACCGCTCTTGGGCATAACACACCAGCTTCCAATGTATACTAGCCGGTATAACACACCGGCTTCTGTATCTGTACGGCCGGCGTAACTACCCTTGGGCGTAACACGCCAGCTTCGCAGGCACGCGGCGCGGCGGTAGCTAGTTATATCACACTGAACACATCTAACCTTTGCCCAAATAGCTCAGTAATCATTGTTTAAAGCCATGTAGTGGCAGCAAGGTCCACTCGAAAATAGCTCTAGGGATCATCATACAAAAGGTCTGTACATCAAACAGAGCAGAACGTCAGAAAACCGTTACCTTTTAGCGAAAGCCTCCGGAACAGTCTGGTTCATGATGAGGTTCACACCGCGCTGCCCCTCGTTAACCGTCTGGGTCACTTTGAACGGCTTGATGGCGGCTGGAGAAGAAAACAAGATGCCGCGTGGAGTAAAACACAAAACAACAGCATCCAATTTTTTATTCAATTGGGTGGGCCGGAGCTTACAATTATTGGGGCTAAATCGCAAGGGTCTGGAGCGGCTGCCATTCGGCGCTAACTCAGATGACCCCAATACGACCCCAGGTGCGGTCATAGGACTGTAAGGTTTGAACCACTCACACCGGGAAGGTCCCCTACTCTTTTCGATCCTAACTCATTTCTCAACCGGGACGGGGGACGACACCAACTTCCAGCTTTTTTTGTTGGAAACTGTAACCACACTTTGTTTGTAATGTGTGAGTTCTGTGATAAGGGCAGCTTTCGTTTTGTCAGTAAAAGCGGAAAAATCAGGATGGAATTTTGTGGCTTCTTTAAACAGCCGAGATGAGACTTAATGTTAAAAATAGTCAAGCAGAGCTGAAAGCGCTTGGTGTCTTCAATGTAAGAGTTGCATCAATTTAAAGTTGTACATAGATGGTAAAAACGTGGAGCCTCTAAGAATGAGGTGCAGTTTAGCATTGTCTGACATATTATTTATAAGGTTTCCTACTTACTGCTGCGGAAGTTGGTGATGCCGATGACCCATGACCCGAAGCCCTGGCCGTCGTCAGAGCAGTTCCATGCGCCTGCGCGGAAGCCCTCCGCGTCCGCGTTGATGCCAAACAGCCTGCCGGACATGGCGAACGTCGAGGGCACTCTGCGGTGGGAAAATGGCGGGAAAAGCGTTAAAATTGAACGATAGTACACTTTCTAGCACAAATTGTAGGAACTTCAAAAACTGTCAACCTTATCATCAGTGTTGGTCGACGTCATCATGAAATTCAAACCGTAATTTCCAACACAAGAAATTGGACGAAAGTTTGAGTAAGTCCAATTTCCTAGATAAATTTCCTCATAAAATGTCTTCCTCAAAATTGTTGTAAATACTGTGGAAATGCCGGAAATGGGATTCAAAGTTCAGATAAACACCCTACTGAATAAAATAAGGATTAACAAGTTAGTACTTACGGCCCTCCCGAGAGCCAGCGGTCCTGGTTGTCGATCATCTCCTGAGCGTCTCTGCCCAGGGTGGGGAGCAGGTTCCAGTTAAGGTCTGCGGCAAACATGTACACAACAAGGGGTTAGACTTCGTCAAGAAGATTTTTCTGCCTGTCTGTTTATCTGTCTGTCTGTCTGTCTCCCCCCCCCCCCCTCTCTGTGTATGTGTGTGTGTGGTACTTCACCATTTTTTCACTATATAAGTGCTATATTAGTATGATTTACAAATTTAACTGCAGGTGCCGCAGCATTAGAGCCACGGCGTGGTGGCAGATAGCTGTGCCGTGAACCAAATGTCCCCGGTTCAATTCCCGTCACTACTATAACGCCTTTACCACTACATGTCATACATTCCCTTCGTGTCTTCACGATGAGACCTAAATATATGTTACTTATTTCTCCAGATTATTGATTCCTGATTTTAATCAGTATAATTGACGTCCTGCTATGTGTGTCTATTTGTTACTACATGTGAACGGACAAAGAACAACTGTTCAATATGTTTTATCTGTTCTCTATACAGAACTTAGCGTAACTGACCGGCCTCTGGATATGTGACAGGGTGAATAAAAGTTCTAAACGGGAACTATGCGGCTCCAGATGTCTTACTGAGGGACGACCGCGTGTACGAGATGTCGATTAGCTTGAGGAATGAATCCACTCAAATATGTACTGACCGGCCTCGGGATAGTTGGAGACGCAGTACATCTCAGCCGTGCCGTCATCCTGGACGTACGGGAACCGGTTCACGAGCACCAGGTCAGGGTAGGAGGCTGAAAAAAAAACAGTACAACAGAACTCAAAAGCTAATCTAGACATCTCAAAATGAACAGAGACGGGGTGCGACACAGGTTATCTGACACTACGGCTCTCTGCTGCAAACACGTGGAAGCTGCAGTAGACGGATCCATTCCGTGAACGGCCGAAAATTTGGGGTAATTCACAGTGTTGGCAAGAAGGTTTAGCCCTTTTTGTCATAATGAAGTATACCAACACAGATGAACTTTCATGCTAAGATCTCAAAATTAACTTAGTTTGAAAATTCATCGGTGTTAGTAGACTTTATGCTGAAATGAATAATTCAAATCAAATCATACCAGAACAGAAGCGATGGATTGCTCTTTATAAAAGACTGGAGTTCAACAGTTGAAAATTTGGGCTCGCCTATTTTTATGGATTGGAAACAACAATTCAAGCCAAATCTATATGTTGTCAAAACATTTAACAGTTAAATATAACAAAAAGGATTAAGATTCAATGTAAACGTCTGTTTTAAGCCTGCCTATTTGTGAATCATACTTAGTCTAGTTCTGTAAATAACAGCTTAATCCTGTTACGAAAGGCACTTGACTGTATAACAAGAAAAAGTCTGCTTTCTGCATTTGGTTGAACCTTTCCTTTCTCATATTTGAGTGCTCGGATGTTTCTAGACATAAAGAAATGACTAAACCTAAATCCGTTTCAACTTAAAAATCCTAAAACGCCATTGTCTACACAAGTGGTTTCGCGGTGCCACCTGTGATTTTGCCTACTCCTTTTTGTCAAGAGCGGGTGTCCAAAAATCACTTGTGTGTATTGTATCTAGAACCGTGCCTGTCTAGTTCTATGTCTGAATGGGTTAGGATCTAGATAGTCTCTGCGTATCCAAGAACGTAGATTTGCCCCAGGCACGGTTCTGGATACGCGTGGACTATCCAGAACTGTACCTAAACATGTTTCTGGATAAAGCACTGTTCTGGATACAGCATTCTCCTATTTTTCAGGACCGGGCGACCAGAAATAACTCGTTCTGTGTCTGAATGGGTTATTAGGATCGGGAAGGGTTCTAGATAGTCTACGCGTATCTAAGAACGTAGATTTTCCCCAGGCACGGTTTTGGGTACGTGGGGACTATCCAGAACAGTGTATGAGCATGGTTTTATACAACGCATGGTTCTCAATACAACATTCTCCTATTTTTCAAGAGCGGGTGACCAGAAATAACTCGTTACAACAAAAATCACACCGCGGCACTCGTGCCCCTCCCGCAAGAGATCGCGAGGCAGCTCAAGAGTCCTCAACTCATTACAGACAAGCATCAACATCAAGAACTCGAGTGGTTTTTGTCGATTGGAATCACGCGGTATATGTACGGTTTGTTATGGCAACGGGCCTTGGTGATATCTAAGTTAAGACACGCATGTGGAAAGAATCATGTATGCTATCAAAGAATTGAAATGTGGATCGAAAAACTACAGTAACAAACTTGGATACGCTACATTTATGCTAGAATTATCAGTGCTTATCTATGTATATCTTTATCGTGCGGTTTGTTATGGCAACAGACTTTGGTAATATTGAAGTTCAGAAACACACGTGAAAAGATTGATGCATCCTACCATCTAAGAAAAGCACTGATATGTCTCAAAAAACGACAGTAACAAACGTCAATACGCAACATTTTATGCTAGAAATTATAAAATAGCGAAATGAAATTTCGTATATTTTGTCGTTCACTAGTGCAGGTGGCTGCTCCCCACTTGATGACGCAAAGAGCCTATCGAATGCCTTCAAATCCGCCTCATTGCTCTTTATATCTGTCTTATAAATGTGCGATAATATCACAGACTATTACAAAGTTTGCTCTTTTCTGTACCTAGTTTTGGCCATCAACGATTTGACACATTTTGCGTTGAGCCATAACTACGCATAAGACGGAAATTGTTGTAGTTTGTTCTGAAAGGCATTAGCAACGACATTTCGCCACAGGTGACGTTTTTAACGGTAACCAGAATGCAAAATATCCGAATATATCCTTTAAAACACGACTACAAATCCGCATATTTCGAGAAATGATTACAGAAATTCACGCAATCGTAGCTTTTATAGCCTGTTCTCAAGTTGTTTTCCCAGTAGAACGGAAATCCACTTACACGGTGACCTTGTTTGCGTGTCTCATTAAATCCGATCCCTCTCAACCTAACCAGATCAAAAAATCGAACAGATAAAAAAAACTATACGAACGTTTAATGCCTAGGTCACATTTCCAAACCGGGGCCCGACCGGGTTGTCTGTATGAACGAAAAATTAACAATCCATATGAAGAGTATATAGATTTACTGCCCATGATTATCATCGAAAACGTTTCTGTGCTTTGTTGACTTTTATATCGTACTTTTCGTTCCCAAAAGCTGCCCGGCCGGACCCCGGTTTGGAAATGTGACCTGGCATAAAAGACGAAAACAAAACTCTACGTTACCTGCGAAATGCAGCACACAGGATGTGAGTAGAAGGAACGAAGGCCAAGACATCACCGCCATTTTGTGTGTACCCGCGTGAGTGAGTGAGCCGGGACGTGGGTGACTGGCTAGCCGCTATCACCGGGCTCTAAAAGGGCCTGGCTCTCTGAGTCACCTCGCGATTGCGCGGGGCACAAGTGGGCAGTACTTTAACCGTGCGCAGTGATTCGTGTCAGTATCCGCGTCTGGAGGGTGCTCCAGGCTTGTGGAGGGCGGGGACAGCTCCTGGCCATCGAGAGGACTTGTTCTCGCTTGGACGCGCTCACGAAAACAACCAGGTCTTGGTTGGAACTACGCACCTTGGATTTTGGTAGTTTTTCTTGTAGACGTTTAGATAATTCTACGGGGCTAAAAATTGTGCAAGTCTTCTTTTTTTTGTGTGTTAATTCCCTCTAGTTACTCTAGTTTCAAGCGACTTTTTGATTCTTTTAAGCTATCAAGTTTTATTTCGTCTCAAAGGCGAACTGCCTTTTCAAAACGTTACATAGGACGGACATGTACAACTTAAAATTGCAATAAATTCTGTCAAAACACATAAAAATGCTAAAACATTGAGAGTTGACCATTCCCTTGGCCTTGGTTGAAACTGACAATTCCATTCTAACATTCCGGGCTCTTCAATATGTTGCACTGAGCACAAGAGAAAATGAATGTTTTTGTTAATTATTAAACGTACCAAGATCTATGCCTGTTCAACTTGTTTTTTTAGCATGGTTCAGTAGAATATGTTGGAAATACTAGTAGTATGAAGAACTATCTAAAAGCAAGGATTCGCGTGTTACAAGTGTACAATGTACACGTATCTTATTCCCCAAACCTGCTGACAAAAGCGCAATAATGCGGCACTAGTTATCCGTCAATGTCAACTAACTGTAATATAATATACCCCACGTGGCGTTACCAACACAACAATCCGCCAAATATCACGGATTTTTTCTATATTACACGTCGTAGATTCCTACAACACACAAGGCTGTGCCGTGATCATCCGGTCTCAAGTGCTCTCATTGGCAGATGAAAGCTTCTGACGCCCGTTTGGACCAATCAGCGCGCTCTTTACTATTGAGGTATCAAATGTCACCTTTTGTCCACGGTGATGAGTACGTCATCGATCAATAACTAGCAAATAATCGATAAAAATGGATCGATAACCTCATGACTCATCTTGACCCACTTCGGGAGTAGGTTAAACTCAAGATCAAACACTTAAGACATTTATATAACTATTGCCATGGCAACATCATAACATTCTATATCAACAAATTAATCATTATACATTATATATATACATACACTAGAAAGGTTACTAGACAAGGCTCTGATTTTTTAAAATTCTTTTGTCAAAGTTGCAAATGGATGTTGTAACAGTTGAGAGTAAACTTAGCACAATGTATCATTTTTTGTTTAACAGGTTTTATGATGTCAAAATTTGAAGATGTAGGAATCTTGTTTTTCTACCTCGGCCCGCCTTGTTTTTTTTTCGCCCCATCGCATTAGATTTGGAGTCTGTGGAGGATGTCATCCATAAAATTTACTTGCTGTGGCCTAAACTAAATTTTGTGCGTTTGTAAGTGCCCTTTTTGTTGTTAATTTTTGTTGGTCTTTAGCGGTTCACATCATCATCATAATATGTAGTTAAAGCCACCAGTTAGCTTGTTGGCTGGCTAACTGGTGTTGGGAACTTGGGGCCATGGGATATAGAGCAAAATGAACCAAGCACAAACTCCAATCACTCTGCTCACAATGCATTCATTTATTGCAGGAACCGCCAGATGAGATGGGATATGTATTCTCACACCTCATAAGAGTAAATACGTCGACCCTAACACCTACTAGTATTATTTAACCCGGTACATTGCTGCGTATCATATCTTGCAAATCAGTCAGTTAGGCATATACATTGTAGTAATACCCCAACAGTAATGTTCTTGTGACTTTTATCTATCTATCTATCTATATATATCTATATCTATATATCTATATATATCTATATCTATATATATATATATATATCT